TTGCCGGTATAGTCGTGGAAATACACCAAGGCAAAATCTGTTTCTTTTTATTCATCGCAAGCTGAATGAGACAGAAAATCACTAGAAAAAGGAACGTCGGAACTTGATTCATATATTTTGATCATTGAATTGTCACTGTGACTTAATGTCAAACAATTAGAGTACTGGTTATACATCAATAATATTTCGAATTCCTTATATCGTAATGGGGAAACGATTCATTGATCAATCTAAAACATTGATTCTGAGTGTGATCGCGTATTTTGTAAAACACGATGATTTCTGCCAAGTTCAAAGAAATAATGTTGTCAGCATTGCCGCGGAAGCTCTGAATATTCCAGAAAGTTGTATATTAATCGGATCAAGAATTCGCAAAATAACTCTGATGCTGTTTATGCATAAATAGTTTCGAAAAAGGCCGAAGAAATAAAAAAAAGGTAAATCCCACAATTTTACAGGCTCTTAGAGTACATGTTACAATAAAATCGCTCCATAAGCGTTTCACTGAAGAATGGCCTGATTTTCCTTGTTCACCAAGATCCGTGAATACCTGGATTCGCAAAATTGGATTCAAATTCAAGAGGAGCAACAATAGGCAGTTTCTTGTAGACAACCATCAGCGTACGTCATTCCAAAAAAAAAAATCATCTAGATATTTACGCATCAGAACATGGTCACAATATTTTGAGATTACCACCTCACCATTGCCAATATAATGCATTAGGAAATGGTGTGGTCAGAGGCTAAAAGGATTTATGACGCCGAAATCATCAAAACTAAATCATCCCCGGGAGATGTGATAATGGTCTGGTCAAAGGCGTTAGAAGCTGTGGGTGTGGAGCATTGGAGAAATTATGTACGACATACAGAAAAAGTGATATTTTCTGCATGGGAGACGGAGAGATACATAGGTGCTCCCAATATTGAACCTGTCGTGATAACTTTCAATCCAGATGAGATCGATACAGGTTATCGGAGGAAGGGTCAATGCGTTCAAATGAAAGAATTTGTTTTTGAAAAATGTTACTTCCTGAATAATTCATATTAAATTAAGTTGATGTTGACGAGGAATTATTATTCGAAATATAATTCAAGTGAGTTATACTACTTACTTACTTTCTTGCAGAAAGCCAAAGACAAAACATTTGTTCGAAAGAATTTCATGTTGATAATGTATACAGAGTGTTTTCCGAAACCTCTAGTAGATATGGAGAGTAATACATCTTCTCATACATATTTCTTTTATTGTTTTTTCCTCAAATACCTTTCAACATCTTATTTCACCAAAGTGTCACTGACTATCAGCTGAAAAAATTCTTTCAGGTCTGAAAATAATTTTTTTAACACTACGGCCAGTCATCCACAGATACTTTATATCTCTATAATTTTTTCAGAAATGAGGGGAGAAAACTAATTCAACGCATCTTATTTCACCAAAGTGTCACTGACTATCAGCTGAAAAAATTATTTCAGGTCTGAAAATAAATTTTTTAACACTACGGGGCAAAGAAAAATCTCCACGCCCAGTCACCCACAGATAGTTTTATATTTCTATAACTTTTTAGAAATGTGGGGAGGAAACTGATACATTTTTTTGATATTTTTTTTTTGAGATTTTTTTTGTCAAAGCATCAATCGCTTGGGAATATATTTGCGAAAAACAGATGATCTTGAACAGCTGAGAAATCTTATAGTTTTATTTATTCCAAAATCGTCCATCCCTGGGGTGGAAAGGGAGAGAAGGTAGGTATTGAAATATAATATGAGTTATCCTTTGTTCATGGTGCAAGAGATCTCATATCCAAATTTCGAATTTTCAACATTTATTTCGGGTAGGTATTGAAAACATCTCGTCAGGTTTCCCGAACTGATTTTCCGCGAAAATACTGTTCAGTGTTCAACTATAGTTATTCTCGTTTTTTTAGGTAAATATATATGAATCTTTGAGAAAAAACAACATGGGAACTTGTAATGGTACGCACATACACTCCTATATCCGTTCTCGTGGACTTCGATGAACTGCCATATTCGTTACCATGATTATCATCATGATTGTCAAAATCTGGAATAATTAAGAATACACATGCGAATGGTAACCAGAAATTCTATAGGCTTTTGTTTTGTGACTTGGTGTATTTCCACGACTTTACTCAAGCCTGCCCCCTTATTGCAGCCGAAGAATCACATTATTTTGATTGTTGCTCTTGAATGGAAGCTCTTCCAGATGATATCACAGATTATGATTTGCTATCAGTGTATCTTTATTTCTTAGAGTTTACCCACTAATTTGTATGTATAAATTTGATGACGATATGATACAGAACACAGAACTATTCCATTTCGATATTTTGACCTGCTAAAATAGGAAGGACCGAGCAAACACGACATAGCTGGCGAATCAATGGCCAATGACTGGATCGACGGCATACTGCTGGCAGTATTTTTCGATGATGAAAAACTATATGCCCATTTCTGTTTCAGTCATATAATACCGATGTTGCACTTTTTTGCACATTTTTTGCTGGTACAATAGTATTTCCTGGATTCATGAGAATCAAGATTACACTATTTTTATGGCATTGGGGAATAGATAAGTATAATCCATTTTACAACGATCACTGGAACAGTACTGGTTGAATGATGAATAAAGGATATAGGTTCCTCAATGTCATGAAGTCATCAACATTATTTTACCGACAATGGATAATTGATTTGTTTTCAATAGGTCTCGTATTTATTTTTTTTATTCTTTTGCGCATGAGCCGTTAATCTATTATTGCATGATGTGAAGTGAACAAGTGAATAGATATAATAAAGTTGTATGAAGTGCATCATATGCAATCTCATCGAATCGAAATAACAAATTTAGTTGTAGTAACTGATATTCTTCTTCGAAAACATCCATCGTGATATATTACTACCTCTGCCATGAAGTTTCAGTCCTAACAGCAATCTACTTCTACCTCAGACACCAATAAAGACTAGAGTCTTTATTGCCACCTATCTATTGTTGCAGCAGGCTAGGTAATATGCAGTTGTGATTTATAGAGGTTATTAGTTGAAATTCAGGAATAGTTCATTCCAGATAAGCCAGATACCAAAGAAGAGAGGTTTTCGAGTTTTGGCCATTTTCCAGATATTTCAGAAATTACAATATCCATCAACAAAAACGGAATTTGCGAACTCTTGGCTGATTGACAAAATCATATGTGAATATATAACTGAATACGAGAAGTTCTATCGTAGTATCATTAGTTGAATATTTTCTCTACATAGCCTAAAAATTCTCTGTGTAAAATCAACCCCCTAATTTCCATTGGGAATGCACTGGAAAGACGCATGCAGTCATCACTGGGCCAACAATGAATAAGCAATTACTGGAAGTACTGCTTCGCCAATATTGGCGTTGAGTTGGCCAGTGAGCAACTTTTTTAATTTACCAATGAAAAATGCCAATATTTGGCCAATGATATAGTTCATACTGGTGTGACATTGCTCTAAAAGAAATGGCCAATGAATTAATGTTTGCTGGGGAGCTGGTGTGGTGCGAAGCATACTAAAAGAAAGTCTCTCCATTTGATAGACCTCTATTGGCGTTAAGTTGGCCAGTGGGCAACTTTTGTAATTTACCAATGAAAATTGCCAATATTTAGCCAATGATATTGTTCATACTAGTGAGACATTGCTCTAAAAGTAATGGCCAATGAATTCAAGTTTGCTGGGACGTTGATCTAGTGCGAAGCATACTATAAGAAAGTCTCTCCATTTGATAGAACTCTATTATTGGCGTTAAGTTGGCCAGTGGGCAACTTTTGTAATTTACCAATGAAAATTGCCAATATTAAGCCAATGATAGTTCGTACTGGTGTGACATTTCTAAGTAATTGCCCATGAATTGATGTTTGCTGGGGAGCTGGTGTGGTGCGAAGCATACTAGAAGAAAGTCTCTCCATTTGATAGATCTCTATTGGCGTTAAGTTGGCCAGTGGGCAACTTTTGTAATTTACCAATGAAAATTGCCAATATTTAGCCAATGATATAGTTCATACTAGTGAGACATTGCTCTAAAAGTAATGGCCAATGAATTAAAGTTTGCTGAGTAGTTGATTTAGCGCGAAGCATACTATAAGAAAGTCTCTCCATTTGATAGAACTCTTCCATTGGCGTTAAGTTGGCCAGTGGGCAACTTTTGTAATTTACCAATGAAAATTGCCGATATTAAACCAATGATAGTTCATACTGGTGTGACATTTCTAAGTAATTGCCCATGAATTGATGTTTGCTGGGAGGCTGGTGTGGTGCGAAGCATCCTAGAAGAAATTCTCTCCATTTGATAGAACTCTATTGGCGTGTAGTTGACTCGTGGGCAACTTTTGTAATTCACCAATGAAAAATGCCAATATTTAGCCAATGATATAGTTCATACTGGTGAGACATTGCTCTAAAAGTTATGGCCAATAAATTAAAGTTTGCTGGGAAGTTGGTCTAGTGCGAAGCATACTATAAGAAAGTTTCTCCATTTGCTAGAACTCTATTATTGGCGTTAAGTTGGCCAGTGGGCAACTTTTGTAATTTACCAAAGAAAATTGCCAATATTAAGCCAATGTAATAATTCATACTGTTGTGACTTTGATCTAAAAGTAATGGTCAATGACTTAATGTTTGCTGGGGAGCTGGTGTAGTGCGAATCATCCTAGAAGAAAGTCTCTCCATTTGAAAGAACTCTATCGGCGCAGCTAGCATCAGGTTTCATTTTTATCCGAGAATGCATCATGGATCGCAGAAAGTCGCAACACGAAAATCGAGGGCATCAAACACAATATGTTATGCGTTGTGATAATCTCACGTAACTACATATTACTTATGCGGCCGCATTTCCTCCCGATCTCCCTTTCTCCGCTTTCTTCGTTTTGCCACTACTTCGCGGACATCTAGGTCACTATCTCAATAATACTTTTACATCCTCCGCTGGTGGGTATGCCCATGCAGCGGCCTGCACTAGTGATTCAAGTCTCTTCGCTCCGATCGCAACACTTTGCATTGCTCTTGGCCTTGTGCTCTAGTGAAACCACGGCGGTCGCGGCTCGCGGCGCTACGTTTTTAGTATTTTAGTGTGTGTGTGACAAGAAAGCCTCAACATTGCGCTGCACCAGCTAAGGCCTGCTGGCCCAATGCCCTTCAACATGCCCATGCGCATCGATAATGGATTAATGTTTTCGCAACCCCCTGGTGAGTAGTTTTTCTGTTTTCGATTTCCGTTGGATGCATGTAGTTCAAGTTCACCCGATATCCAAATTCAAAGTTTTGACTAATTTCAAAATCGGTAGGTAGGTACACTAAATACACTACTTGATGCAATGAAAAAAAAGTATCAGAGTATGAATTTCTTCGAATTTTTCCAAAAGTACATTGACCTTTAGTTAACTATGATATAAATATTTAGTGATAGAACTTCTGGCAAATTATTGATTCCAGGGGATACTCGGGGTACCTATATTCTTCAACGACCTACCCCCATCTCTTTCTGCAATTATTTATGTATCGCATCAATTCGTCAAACTATTTTTTTTTCTACGGCCAAAACACAAAATTGTTCTTGTTTCACTGTGTTCGATGAATCAATGAGGTACTTTGTATGTCATCAATTTTATTTCCGTTTCTGATATCACAATGACTCCAATGTGTTATTATTTCACAAAATCGCAGGTCTCATCAAATGGAAAATTTCAAGCAAGGACAGCTCTGTCTAATAGATGAACATTACTCATGGAAAAATTCGCTATTATCTGTTACAGCCGTAGAAAAAGTATAGTGTTTAACTTGCACGGAATGATAATTTTGCAGCATTCGCCTATTCTCGTGGGAAATTACTATCATTCCGTGCTCGTTAAACAATATACAATATTCTCACCGATTCTCACTGTTCAAGCCGGGGTACAAACAGCATATACACACGGTGTCTTCAAAGAAATGGTGTGTATGGTTTTAACGAGGTTATATCGCTATATTTTCGATATATCAAAAATAACTCTAATAATATGAAGTAGACGTGGAAACTTTTGAGAATTAACATCCTGATCAAGAATTGTCCCTAGAATCTGAAAATGTTACAACACTTGAAAATTCAATACCGGAGCCTTTTTTGGTGAAACCGGAAGTGACCGGAAACAGAAAGAAATGCGAAACCAAGGCGAAAACGCTCCTCTTCACATACCAATTACTTATAACAAATCTCATTTCTCGCTCATCCCGATATATCTAATATTCTGGAAGTTATGACTTGTTTAATAGATTCGTTGACACACGGTATAGTCCAGAACTCGGTCCAGAATGGCATTTAAACATTTGAACGATCTGATGAAATATTTGTGATAAATAAGTATTTACTATTTATATTATCCCGAGTATTATCCTGATAGTCGAGAAACTCTTTTTTTCAACTATGAAAACCTCGATGAAAACTAATCCATCCATATATCCATCCATATATGATTCACCTTGTAGGACAGTCAAATTGCATATTGCATATTAATCGAATTGATAATTGTGATTAATCAACGAATTTCGCAAAACGATAAAAAATCTATAACCAAGGTCAATGCGGTCTTACCGGGTCTGACTGACCTTGTTACATCAAGTTGTGATTTCGAATAAGCCGCCATTTGCCAAGGTTCCCATTGGTCGATTCTCTGTAGTACATACATCACGTAGGGATAGGTCGTTGGACTTTGTTTGTTATAAAATGTCATAGAAAGGCTTGAGGTTCACTCCAGTTTTGTGTTTCTATGACTGTTCTCATGGTGAACAATGCTAATAATACTTACGGGCTACAGTTCAGTGTTTGATTTCTGATGATTCGTTCAATACGTACGACTCAAAATTACGAAGAGAACTTATAAATGACACCTGGAAAGTTCTCTCGCTAATTAAAATTATTCTATGGTATCATTAAATTATCCTCATCACCCCACCATCATTTAACAAACAACAGAGATATAATAAAAATTATAGAATACTTAAAAAAAACAAAGGCAAAATTCAATAATCGCCTGACTTTCCTGGTAATAATTGTCTGCTGAAAATCATGAAAATAAAAAAGCGAATCCTGTAATTTTGTAGCTTTCTAAATGACCTAGGACCATAACAAATGATGATGATGACTATGACAACCACTCGGACAACCAGAACATCAATAAGGGCCTCGGTTAGGCCTCGGTTCAGGGAATAACTCTTGATGTCAAGAAAAAATCCTGCAAAATCGAAAATATATATCGCTACCCCATATTTTTGATAAACGAATTATAGAATCATCCTCTACAAGATTCAGAAAGAAAATGATTCATTAGAAACTGACAGAATCGAGGATAGAATCTCGGACAGAATAGACTGAATTTTCACATCGTTTTATTTTTATTCTTATCATTTCCCAATGAAGGATTCAGGATTTGGTGTAAGTGCCAGAACAACCTGAATATCTTCTACAGTGAACATTAGAAAAAAATCAGAAGATTCCTGCTTTATAAGTCCTGCCATCAACTTTAGCCATAATAAGAGATGAAGGGTTACTTTCCCATCATTATAACCATCTTGCTGTACCATTTACAGCACTTGTACCACTTACAGTTCCAATATACAGTATGATGCAAATGTATGGAATAAATTCATTTCAAAACAAGATGACTTTCGAAAAAAAAAACAAAAACTAGAGTTTAGAACTTTTTTTTCGACGTATTTTTTTAACTAGACGACCCTTCGATGTTCAATTCTCAGTAGCAGACCTCTGCAAGATTCAATTAATCACATGATAATCCATTTTAATTTCAATCTTCTTATGCAACATTTTGACTATTGAATAGACGATCGGTAGACCTTTCAATCAAGGTGTCACATGACCCCTATTTGTATTTGGAAAAATCGTCCATTACGTCTTTACTCCAACACCGGTGACGTAACATCTCTCATATGAATATCATGAGATGAGGCTTCAGAAATTAAAACTCACGTGTTTTTGGAATTTTTTCAAATGTCGCCCATTTCTGAAATAATGAATTTATTCCATACATTTGCATCATACTGTATGTAAACAGCAATGTTCCAAGCACGTGTAGTGGCGTATACCAAGTCAGGTGGAATCACGGTTGATACCATGTGAGCAGAGGTATTTGACAAGGTGTTTGCATCAAGTGGAGTCGATACTCCAAACGATGAATATTTCAGTTCTTGTGTTGAGTAATAAAGATACAGTACAGTTGGGAGACAGGAGAAAACAATTCATAAACGGCCTCGGAAATTGCCATACTATGGAAACTAATGAAGCAGAAATAATCAACTAACAAAATCAGGAAGACGGCTCTGGGTGAGAACTATGCCTCTTCTGAAAGCAATTCCTTTCATTATCATTCTTTACACATATTATACCTGCACTGTACATGAACCTATGTCAGTTTCGGTTTTTAGATAATCCATATTGCAATATTCTTATCACCTTGTCACATGAACCGGTGATACAATATGTATATATATAGACTGTTTAGGATAAGCAGCAGATAAATTCATGGATCACAAGATCTAATTCCATCCCCATTAGATAAAATACTGTACTCTGAATTCGACTCGGAATTCGAATAACTGAAAATATCTGTTTTCATTCAATGATGCTCCTTTATTCCACGAATAAAATCAAAGAATAGGTATTTAAAATAATCCGCACTGCACGCACCTGAGAGCTTCCTCACTAAACTATCGACAATTATGTTTACTTACATCCGAAACAACACCAATCTATAAAAGATCCTACCAATTATCAGCAAAACAAAAACAACATTCTTGTTTTGATAACTGTGGTTAATGTCAACCAAAAACAATATGAGGTATAGGTATCTCATTCCTAATATGATACCTTGTATATACTTACAGAAAAATAAATATTTATGTACTTAGGTACTTCTGCTATATTTAGTTCAGATTTTGAAAAGATTAAGGAGCCTACTGATTCAAATTAAACTTTCCTCAATAGTATATACCTCGGTATATACACAGGGTTTCCAAACTCAAGTCGGCACTTTTGCTAACTTGGTTATTATTGAAGCTATGCAAAGTCGGTGAAATGGACAAACTGGTAGTGTTTTTTCCATTGATTACGATGATGGAGTGGAAAAAAAATTGAACATCGCGTTCACGAGTTATGTCGAAAATCTAAATTTTTTTCGATTTTTTTAAATGGGACACCCAGTATACAATGTTCTCAATCGATAGGATATTCGATTCTGAACAAAAACTGCATCATAAACTTTCATTGTAAATTCTAAAATGACTTGAGGTATCGACGATTTATTCCTTCTTGTAAGGCAAACTCGAAGGCAAAGTTACAAAGTAATTCCGTAATACCCTCGGTAATACCCGAGGTAATGCCCAAGGTAATACCTACCTCTCGATTATCCTTGAATAACTCAATCACTTTTGATAGCACAGTCATTTTTGAATTTACGAAGAAAGGTTATGGGGCAGGTTTTGTTCAGGATCGAATTTTCTATCAATTAAAAAGATTTCATACTGGGTGTCCCAATCAAGAAACAAATACCTCTTGACACAAAAGAAAAAAGAATCGTCGATAGTTGCTAGCTCAGTCATTTTCGAAAACAGGATAAAAGTTCATAGGACTGTTCTTGTTCAGAATTCAGAATCGATTATCCTATATGGATTGAGAATATCTCGTAGAATATGGTATACACCCACCCATATAAAAAATTGAACTTTTCGACATAACTCCTGAAAACGATGTTCGATTATTTTTTTGATTTCATCATCGTGATCAGCGGAAAAAATACTACTAGTTTTTCCATTTAACCGACTTCGTAGCTCCAATAATAATAAGTTAGCAACAGTGCCAACTCAAGTTTGAGAACCATGTATAGTATGACGATGGAAGAATAAAAATTGTTAGCAAATTTGTAACTATTGTGGTGATTTATTGTATACTTTTTACTTGAAGAAGCGATATACTCTGTAGCGAAACATGTACTTTCAAGAGGTTTGTGAAAATCTGATTGTGAAGTTTTCACAATTCCGGTGAAATTGACATTATACAGAATACATCAGCATGGAAGTGTTAAATGTGTTCCAATTTGCTCCAACCCACCTTCAAGTGTTTGTGAACATTTCTCGGGATTCTATTGACCCAGTAGTGAAACAGGAGAATTCTATCGATAGGTTTCTTCTCGGAATTTTTT